GGCTCAAATCTCCCTGATCCAACTGTGGGGTTATTGGACGTGGCCATACCAAGTCATTGGCACAGATTACTGCAGGGAGGAGGAGTTTAGTTGGTTCGGTAGCATTCAACAGTCCTACGTCCTAAAAAAATTGATTCATGTTCTTCACTTCAGTGACTGAAAACTAGAAGGAATAGGGAATGGCTTAAATGGCAGAATGAGGATCCAGAAGCTCTTGCTGGGATAAAATAATGGGCCAGATTTTATAAGTTCATAAATTTTTTAATGGATAAGTATAAGGTCCCAAACCCTACTATACCAGAACGGGACAGGAAGACAACTTAAAGGGAAAAGCTTGGACCTTTTAGTCGATGGAAGGTTCATTAGGATTTGGTTTTGTTATAGTTGCTAAAAGATTAATACTTCCTGAGGCTTCAGTCAGTGTATAAATGAAAGTAAACTGGGACTCTTCCTGATATTGGGAAACCAAGATTGTACCCAAACTGGGCATAGTTTCCCAGAGAAGAGAAGGCTCGGGAAACTACGAGAGTCCCTTCAGACACTGAAAGGACTGGCTTTGCAAATCAGGACTCAGACCAGTGGAGGCCGATCTTGGATTCTGCTCAAGAAAGAATGCCCGTTGTCGTAGAAGGCATGAGGCTTGGGGGTCCTGCAGTAGGAAGTGTTTGGGGCAGATTGAAAGGGAAGTCTGTCAATGAATGGCCGGGGGACCGATTCCTTGATACAGGTGAGGTACAGCGTTCTTCAGTCTCACAAGGAAATTTGTCAGTGTTGCTGGATGAGCTAATGGTCAAGCTCTCCTCTGCTCTGTCCCCCAGTTTCCCTTCCACTTTGGAGTTTTCTACTGTAACTTTGTAGGTATTTAGCTTCTTCAAAGTGCCCAATTTCTCACAGGTAATTGAAGGCCTATGATAAGTCTGAATATACTTCCTGATTCTGACTTGGGAAGCATTCCTCAGGCATTTGCCATGGACCTAGCTCTGTGGGAAAATGCAAATGATAGAGTCATGTAAAAAGTGGATCCAGATATTAAGAAGTATAGTATGATTGAGATGATCATACCAAATGTCAAATTAAGAAATGGGATAGGACAGGAAAAGAGAAGTGTTATATGGCAGGTGCTTAGAAGGAAGAGAAAGATCTGCTGAGTTTTAATCCTGTAGGTGGGAGAAAGGATTGGACTATTAAATGAAATAGTGTTGGCTGGGTATGGTGGCTCACGCATGTGATCCCAGCACTTTGGGAGGCCGAGGCAAGAGGATTGCCTGAGCTCAGGGGTTCAATACCAGCCTGGGCAACTTGGTGAGACCTTGTCTCTACAATAAATAAAAAAATTAGCCGGGCATGCTAGCATGTGCCTGTAGTTCCTGGGGCTGCAGTAAGTTCTCACTCATAAACAGACCTTGAACAATTATCATAATACTATAAGAAAGGGATTGGCAGTAGTGGGAAACTGCCAGGGAAGGGGGATGGGATTGGCAGTTGAGGGAAATTGTCAGGGGAGGGAGAGGCACATCTCATCAGCAAGGGTACCTGCATAATGAACATTTGTATACCTAACCCTGAATTGTACCCCACATCATTAAAATACAAAACATTAAAAATTAAAAAAAAAAATCAAATAGTGTTGACAGGAATTCTATGGGGGTTTTTTGTTTGTTTGTTTTACCATACCCTGTGATTTATTTACCACCCCCCAAAAATAAATAAAATTGAAAAATTGCAACTCCTACAAACTCTGTCTCCAGACCTGCATCCTGAATACATTACTCATACTTTATTGCTCCACCAGGTGCAGAGATGATTTTCTACAAATCAGTTTAAATGTAATTAATTGCCACTTAGCACCTGTCTTAAGTGGTGCTTAAGTTTGGGATGCTATAATAACAATACCAGAGACCGGACGTCTTAAACAGTGAGTATTTTGCACATTTATGGAGACCAGAAGTCCAAGGTCAGAGTGCTGGCAGATCTAGTGTCTGGTGAGAGCTCTCCTCTTGGTTTGCAGAAGACCGTCTTCCCATTTTATCCTCAACATGACCTCACATGGTAGCGGCAGAGAGAAGCGGCAAGCTCTCTCATGCTTCTTATAAAGGCTCTAATCCCATCATGAGAGCTCCACCCTTCATGACCTAATTGCTTCCCAAAGGCCCCACCTCCTAATACCATCCCAAAGGGGATTAGTCTTTCAACAGATGAATGGGGTGGGAGGACATTTAGTCCTCAGCAATACCACATGAAAAATTTACTTATCAGCATTTAGCTACTTTTTTAACAGGAAGATTTTGTGACTTCATTAACATTGAACATCCCTTGACCTCATGTGTTATCCTTTTCTACTCTTGAGATTTATGTGACCCAAAGCCAAAAATATCAATATTTTCAATGACCAGACCCTCCTCCCTCCTGGACAGTGCTAAGCCTGACGTATGTTTCCCTTTCAGGCTCCCACAGCTCCCAAGGGGCTATATTGTTGCATTTATTGTTGCCATGATGCATTTCTAACTTGTGGTTCATATACTTTCAGACATGTGCTGCTTTTTACATTATGCATCTAGGGACCATGTCACCTATCTCTTACCAGGGGAAGAAAGGAAAACACCTGATTTTATCTCTGTAATATACTCAGTTACAAGTTAACACCTGCTCAGAGTGAACTGTCCCATTTTCATTCTTATCTTATCAGATATTTGTGTTTGTATCCTAGAGTGCAGTGAGGAGTGCTTGGCTACAGGAAGCAATTCTAGGGGCCCATGTCTGCTCATATACACACTGTTTTGAAGGATCATGTGTATTTCAGAGTTTCAGGCCTATAATTGGATGCACTGAAGAGTGGATTTAAGAGTGATGTTTGTTTCTTTCTATTGCAAGTCTGATCATTTCTACATCTGGCACACAGAGTAGAATGAGAAAGAGAGCCTCATAGTGTTGTCTCCATCCTGACCTGTTCTGCATCCATCTTGGTCTTGCAGAACTTAGTCCTTGGGAGCACCAGTGCCATTCTGGGGCTTAGGGTCCTGGGAGCATGAGACTTGAGGCATCGGATGGTGGGTGTGTTTAGTGTGCTAGACTGCCTGGCGATGTTTACTACTTTAGGTGCAGCGTTGCAGTGAATGCTGTTTCTGTGATGACAGTGATTTGGCATGTCAGCAGGTGTGTGTGCTCTGGGCCACACTTCACTAACAGCTTCATGGGAAGAAAGCAGTAGAGAGAAACAGGGCGTGGCTGGGGGTCGTGAAGCATCCATACTGGAGAGCTGGACCAGAGCTGCAGATGAACTATAAGGATGCTCAGAGGGAACGGGTCCTTGGCTTAAGAAGGGAGCACAGAAGATGCCCCGTGTTTTGAGGGGAGAAGAGATAATCAACTGATAATGTGTATTTGCTGCTGGTATTGCAAATTTGGATTACGAAAAGTGGGCTAGAGCACTTAGATGTTGAATTTTGCCAGCAAAGAAAACTTTGAATTAGAAACTTGCAATCCATTATACTCCTTATATTCTAGGATAGATATGTTCTCGGCCAAGGGGAATGTATGGTGTTGTGTGTGTGTGTGTGTATACATAATATTACATATATATAATATATACTCATATATCATCTCCCAGAATTCTGAACAAAGAGCACTAAATATGCCCGAAAACTGGTAAATTCTTGTCTGCTTCCTCTGAAATGGGAAATAGGAGGCCACAGGGCTTAGACTTCAATGCAGCAAACGCCTCCTGATACAAGTATATTACCAAAAAGGATGTCTGTCTAGCAAATTCTGCTTTTGAAAGGTGACTTCAATTCCTGAATTTATTGCCATGGACCTGCTTTTCTCTTTCGTACAAGTTCACAGTTGCCAGCACCAGATGGACTCCAAGTGTCCCTTCATCCCTGACCATGCTTGGACCTGAGGCAGCACCCATAGTAGTGGGGCTAAACCTGAGAGACAGATACATGGAACCTGATGGGGGCAGGGGGTGGCGGAGCAGTGGGAGGACAATAGAGTGAGCCCAGAAGACCACACCCTGGCTCCTCCTAAGCCAGAGTCTGTTGTCTCTGTTCCCCACCCCGCCACCTCCCGCACCATCTGCGTCTGTAGCAGAGGCTGCTCACGACTAGGCAGGCGAGCAGGGGGTGTTGTTTTGGAGGTCTCCATGACAGTTGCACCTTCTGGAGTTCGATCATTTCAGGACATAGTAGAATTAGGAGAAAAATGGCAATAACGTTTGACCAAATTCGGTGTCACCCAGTCGGAAGATATGGGTCAGAAGGATACCTTAGCCCAGCATTAATGACAGTGGGAAGTCACCTCGCAGTCAGGAGCCTTATCCATGTGAGCTGTGCCCTGCCGGGGGCCCTGAAACCACAGGCACGTTGGGGGTGTAGGGACGGGAAGTGACATGAGCAATAATAATCCTTTTGGCACTTCATATGAGGATGAGGTCCTCAGAACGTAAATCAGCGCTGTGAAGGGCCCCCACCATGACACCCATTTCACTGATGGAGAAACAGGCTCCCAGAGGCTGAATAACTTGCCAGAAGTCACACAACTAGTAAATGGCAGGACCAGGGCTAAGCCTCCTAATTCGTCTGGCTCTACAACCTTTGCTTTTAACCTCCTTGGAGTGTTGTCATCTGCTCCTCATTGTTGGGGACCGAAAACTGAGCAGAGGTTGGCACTATGTTGGTCCTGGGCTGTTGTGGCGCTTCCTCCTGGTTGCAGATGGCAGGGTTAATGCCCATCTTGTAATTTGGCACACCGGACACTTGATAAACTCCGAGAGCTTTGCATCGCCCTGGCTGTGTCCATCTCAGCACCTTGTGTTTGGGCCATGGGCTGACAACAGTCAACTCTGCCAGTTTTATGAACAGCAAGGAGGCAGTTCTGTCCTTTTCACTCTTTTGTTTTTTCCTTCTGAGAATGACTGTGTTGAAATTCAGCCTGGACCCCATGACGGGCCTGGCAGTTCCTTCCAGCTCAGAGTGGTGACAGCCATGCCCTCTCTCCTACAGATGCCGCTCCTATGAGGACTGCTGTGGCTCCCGGTGCTGTGTGCGGGCCCTCTCCATACAGAGGCTGTGGTACTTCTGGTAGGTCACACTCTTCTTCTTGTTCCCAGATGCCTCTCCACCACTCCCCCAGCCCTGAGCATTCTGCCCATGATCAGTGTTGTGACCACCTCAGTCGTGGCGCCTTCACTTGGGCTGTGGCCTCAGGGATAGCCTTGGTCAAGAAAACAGTTACATGTGGGTTGGCTGATGACAGGCAGTTGTGCTCACAGAGTTTTCAGAAAGCCCGTTCCCATTTCCATGGGTTTGGGGCTGGGTAGAAGAGTTATGCTTTTAGAAAGTTGGCTGGACAACAGCCTCATCCTGCAACAAGTCCTTAGCCAGTTTCTGAAATGGAGCCGAGGCTGATGGTCTTGAAGAATCAGAGAATCAGCAAATTGAGACTGGCGATAAAGTTTCTGTGGCTTGGAAATCTTCCCCGTACACCTTGTGTCAGTGAATCTTCGCTTCTAGAGAGGCAACCTGCATCCTTGTTCCCTCCCCGGCTCCTCTGAGGGAAGTGTGCCAAACAGCCCAAAATCTGTCAGATTGTACCTTAAGAGGGAACAAGAGGGCAATGCCAACATGGCTTCCTAGAAGGATGGGAGTCATTTTCCTTCAGGAGAGAAGCTTTGTGTGGGTTGGATTTTCAGAGGATTCCTGTTGTGGGTGGCTCTGAGAGTCTATTTGACTGTAGATAATAGCTATAACTTCAGATGTCAGGGGTAGAGAGCATATGTGGGAAAGAGCATTTCTGCACCTAACCCTCTCTCTGCGCCCATGCAGTGGGAATGCCATCAGGTAAACTCCACAAAGAGTTAAGACTTCACCCTGTGACATAAGCTTCTTTATGACCTTAAGATTCCGACTTGACTGACTTCTTAAGACTTTAAGACCTTCCTGAGCATGGTGCAGCAGCCACTTGAATTTTGGGGAGAGGTTTTCTCTTTCACGCTTTTCAGCTGTTCTCAATGTTTTATTAGGAAAACCTGTAGGGGTTAGGAGCTTCATATGTCACGTCGCCTACGTTTTCTTTAATAGCAGTGCCTCCTTTCACCATCACCATCACCACCTCCTTGATTGGGCTTTGGACATTTCGGAGCTACTGGCCAGGCCTTCCTCAGGACTGGCTCTGCTGCCCAGCCTTGGCATACCCTCTGAACAAGGGATTGTTGGTGCGAAGCTTCCCTCCACTTCACAATTGCTGGTGCCTAAAACTATAATTGAAGATGCATTTTGTAGCATAAAGATTTCAAAAGGTAAACACCTCTGCACATCTCAAGGTGGAGGGGACTTGTACCACACCAAGAGAGAAGAAGACCCACAGAAGGCAGCATTTCAGAGTGCCATCCCTTTCAGGGTGGCTTCACCACAAGATTCTCCTCCCTGGAACCCTGGGTGGGGAGAATCAGGACTGTCTGAGGCACGAAACTCTGAACCCTAAAAGGATTCACAAGCATGTTGGGTTGGTCTGAAGCGCTAAATGAGTAATGGTGAAGTAATGGGCATGTTCCTTAAAATGAAACAACTCGCCAAGGTTCATGCACTATACGATTAAAATGTTTGAGAGTGCAAAAGAACTGTTAGGGCCTGACAGCTTCCATTGGCTTCCCAGGAAGCCTTACTTGAACTGGCAGCCAGGTGCTTTTGAGCTGTTGGCCAGGGTTACCCGTTTAAGGCAGGGCACCTCAGTGAAAAGGTGCATGATTACTTGGCAGGATCCCACAGGGAGAAGCTCAAGTGAGTGAGTTCCATCGAAGGAGGTCAAGCTCTTGCAAAGTCCGAGTGCCAGATGCCAGAAGATTTAGTCGACTTATCAGAGGTGAGCTACTAATACAAGGTTCTACACTGGAACTACCAGCAGAGAACAGCTTGGTATGTGAGCACGGGGTGCCCCAGCTAACATACAAAGGGAACTTAGGTTCTCCCCCATGTATTCCCTCTCTCAGTAAACATTGATATGCACCAGGTCCAAGAGAGGCCCTTATGGCATTCAGACTCTTGAAGGAGATATCTAAGGATATCTAAGTGGATAATTACATGTGAATAGTTTTAGACCAGACCATAGAGCCTCTGATGCCAGAGAAGTTGGGAAAAGCTATAAAGCTTTTGACTGAGTCTTCAGAGAGGGTGTTTGGGTCAAGGGACAGCACTTTGTGCAAGAAGAGTGGAAATAGTAAAGAGTGATGGGAAATTTGGGTGGGTGGGGTTGGCATTTGGTAGAGAGGAGAAAGGAGCTGAGCAGCTGTGCAATCTGGGCCCCTCACCCAACTTTTGAAACCTTCTACCTCCCAACATAAAGTTTTGGGAGAAGAATGTTTGCAAAGGTCCCTGCCAGCTCTCAAATCTTGCTTAGTCTTTCACCAAGGAGGTCTGAATAGAGTCATAAGGATTGGAAAGAGTGGGCTGGAGGTGCCCTTGAGTGGAATTGGGGAGCACACTGGACCCGAGTGGTAGCATTGTAGTGAGCCTGCTGCTGGGGGCCCATGCAGCATTCCACACAGGGTATGGGTAGCAGGGTTTGATGATAACTACAGAGTTGAGAATTGCTGTACTCAGGGCTAGGGTAGGGAGAGCAGGGAGGAATTGAAAACAATAAACTGAATTAAAGAAGCCAGATAGCTTCTAGTGATAAAAAGGGCACAAATGTCACTTAATCCTTGGAGAGTTTCCAAAACCTGTTGAGCAACCAGAGAGGATGTCTAGCAAGCAGTCTACCTAAGCTCACAGCACCCTGGGAGCTGCTTTCCTTATTAACTACCACTCCTTTCCCCAGCTGACATCCTGCTTCCTCTTTCCTTGTTCTTGGAAGCACATTCTTCTGCCCCTTTGCTAGTTCCTTTCTTTTAAAACAAGTTCTCAGGGCGACCCCCTCGGGTCCCCTCCCACTGTGGGAACTTTTCTGTTCTCTCCATAAATCCTACTGTCTTTTTTTTTTGAGTTGGAGTCTCACTCTGTCGCCCAGACTGGAGTGCAGTGGCCGCTCCTGGCCACCGCAGACTCGAC